GTTTTTTAATTTTAGATTTTCTTTTGTTTTTCTGATTTCTCAATGTTTATTTTCATTATGGTTTTAAATATTTAGGTTGACAGGGGTCTGCATATGTAATTTTCCTTAATTTTCATTAATGGTTTTCGTCCGGCCCGCGACCCATCATTATAACACGATCCGGACGCGGGTCGAATGAGTTGCCGACCCCTGAATTAGAGGGTTACGTGAAGAGATAGTTTGTACGGATAGGAGGGGGTGGATACAACGGTTAACCCTACACTTGAACAAGTTAAGATTGTCGTGATTGCAGAAAAATCCTCTTGGGAGCCTGTTCCAAAGATTGTAATGATCATTTTTTTTTTTTTTTTACTGTAAGGTTCACCCTGTACAAGGCACTGGAAGCACTCGATGTAGAGGATTACTTGAAGGGGTAGTTTATATGCATAAGCAGGGAACATAATGGTTAACTCTAGACTTGAGCAGGTAAAGATTATAGTGATCAGGGTAACCTCCTCTTGGGTGCCTGTTCCACTAGACTTAATGTTGTGACTAAGTAAATGGTTAAGTGCACCTGAAGAGTATTACACGACTAGTAAGAGTGTATCGAATGAACTCGATCTGTTCCCTGTTCACTGTTCTCCGAAGCTTTCTCTCCTACTAAAATTATAGTAGGCGGAAGAGTCTAACATAGATTCTTTAGAGGGAGGACACCACAACACTTAAATAGGCTAAGATTGTAGTGATCATTTTTTTACAGTAAGGTTCACCTTGTAGAAGGGACCACTCGAGGTAAAGTGTTACTTTAAGGGCTAGTTTATATGCATAGGCGGGGAACATAGCGGTTAACTCTAGACATGAACAAGTGAAGATTGTAATGATCGGGGTAACCTCCTCTTGGGAGCCTGTTCCACTAAACTTAAATAGGGTAAGATTCTAGTGATCCTTTTTTTTTTACAGTAAGTTTCACCCTGTACAAGGCTCGGGAGCACTCGAGGTAGAGGGTTATGTTAAGGTGTAGTTTATATGCATAGGCGGGGAACATAACGGTTAACTCTAGACTTGAATTGGTGAAGATTAAAGGGATCGGGGAAGCATTCACTTGGGAGTCGTTTCCATAAAGCAGTGGTTCGCAGGAAGAAGCTGTCTGAGTGGAACTTACCGATGGAATACGGAGAGATTGTGGGTGGTTTGTTACAATGAAAGTGGCATGGGTCCTTGCCGTGAAGGTTAGAAATGGTGGAACCAAGGAATGTAGTTCGTCCGAGCACTTTCCGTGAAAGCAGCGGTAGAGCAGCGAGTGGCTTGCCACATTTTTGCTGAGAGAGAGAGAGAGAGAAAGAGAGAGAGTTGAGAGAGAGAGAGAGAGAGAGAGAGATGTATGAATATATATATATATATATATATATATATATATATATATATTCATACATGTTTCATTAAATAATATAGACAAGTGTTGTCTATTTATTTTATGTAAATTCTTTTCATAACATCTGATAAGCTTAATAAGATTATCATTAAACGAAGAAAGAAAATCACAATATTGATACATATTTTTAATCCAATCTAACAAACAGGACAATTGTCATCTTTGATAATGGCTTATGTACGCCGAAAGCTTAGATTGGATTAAAAAATATGTATCAATATTGTGATTTTCTTTCATAAACTCAGTGAAACATCTATATTGAAAACTAGCTTAAATGCCACCCGGTAGGCTGTCTTTTAAGCTAGTTTTCAATATGGAAGGTTCCCTGAGGGATTTTGATTGGGCCTTCATCACAGTATGTAGTGGGAAGTAGATGCGATAGGCAACAATGACCTATAGAAAAACTCAAAATTGATCACTGCATTTAAGTATGGCATTAAGCTTATCTTTCAAAAGTTCAACAATAATTCTTCTACCGCCAAAAAAAACAATTTGATGTACGTAGATCCCTTTAGAAATACAAACAATTATTTCCAAGTTACAAAAATTGTCCTCGGATAAAAAAATTCGTTGTAATATATCACGTAAAAATTTCCGAGAACAATTGCTGTAATGAAAATTTGGGAAATCACAATTTCAGGATTGCGGGCCCAGATCTGGCCCGGAACGTTTTTAATTTCCTCACGGAGTCGGCCTGATTCCAAAATGATATGATATGTTGGATTACGGCCTCTAGGAGTAAAGTTGAAAAAGTGTGACACACTGACAGTCGCATTTATTTACATAGAAGAAGTAATAGAATTTTGTTGGTCAGTATATTACTGGTCCTTTCATTATCTCTTCGTTATTAATTTTTGTTTATAATTTTATTTCTTAGCAAATGTATTATGTTTTCTTTTGCGAAGTTCACACCACCTTGTCTGCCCGGACGGTAAAGGGTTAGTTTATATGGATAGGACAGGAAAATAACGGTTGATTCTAGGTTTGAACAGGTTAAGGTTGTAGTGATCGAAGGAAACATCCTCTAAGGAGTCTGTTCCACAGGGCAGTGGTTTGCAGGAAGAAGCTCGGGTTTATAAAAAGGAACAGGTATGAAAACTCTTTTACTTTTTGCTCACTCAGAAACAGGATGCGGTAGGTAGCAGACGTGTCCGGGCTTCTACTTTAACCTGACAGACTACTGCCTAAATTTCAACCCAAACACCTGACGCGCCTAAGTAGGTTTTTTTTTTTGCCTTTTTTGGCCAATGCTATTCAATAAATAAAAAGATACGTACAAACTCTAGTTGTTGAATTCATTTAATGCAGTTACTGATATAACAGAAGTAGTCTGTATTTATTCAATTGAAGTTAGCTGAGAACATGAAGAGGTAAAACAGGCAAGATGAAGACTCACTTTAGACAACAATTATTTTGGAGTTTTTGAAATTCAATTTTTCAGTGTGCCACCAGGGATGTAAATGAGAATACATTTATAAAGCAGTTGTTAAGTTTGATGAAAATTGGTTGAAAGATATATAAATATATATATATAATAAGAAAGAAACCAGTAAAAAAAATCGCCATTTTTCGTTATTTACGCAGCCTTTTACTATATGGGTAGACTCAGTTATCAAATTAAATGACTGTTAAACAATCACCTTATTGTTGGCTACAATTGAGTGAAGTTTGTATTAGATTGCTTGACAATTGAGGGAGGTTTTAGTTTAAAATTTGTGTTGAAATCGATTTGTGTTGTAATCGTTTTTTTCGTTTTTCGCGGTTTTTCGCTAAATGCAGTGGCGTAAAAATATAAATGAGGTATCGTTGAGCTAGTCATAATGTAAGTAACCTACATATCGAGTTTGAACGAAATCGGAAGGAAAAAGTTGAAATTATCGATTTTTGATCGGCTTCATCGATTATTGATTTTTGTAAAATATTTTAATTTTTAACGCTAAGAACCTGTCTCTTACATTGTACAATGTATGTACCAAGTTTGGTCAAAATCAGTTGGATAGATCTCGAGTGAAAAGGTATCACACAGACAGACGGGCATTTCTTTTATATATATAGTTAAGATATTTTTTTATGTTTATACGTTCTTCATATATATATATATATATATATATATATATATATATATTTGGTTGATAGATGTGAGTTTTGACCTGGTTTTCGCTTTAGCGATCGTCAGACAAATTTGTCTGACGATCGCTAAAGCGTGAAACCCAGGTCACAAAACTCACATCTATCCAACCAAATATGTTAGCTCTATCTCTGATATTGAGCGCTTTTAATAAGTACTATATATAATATATAAATAATTATATATATATATATATTTATTTATATTTATATTCACTTTTTCATATATATATATATATATATATATATATATATATATATTTTATGGTAATTGTTTTGATGAAATTTCCACTATGGTACTTAACATTGAAAAAGATAAGAGATTTACGTGTCGTATCCCTTCATGACATAGGTGTTCATGGCTCTCCACAACTTCCTATCTGTTTTAGTTCATAGCAATATTTAACATTTTACAATCCACCCTGTTTTGCCAAACCTTTACACAAGAAAATTAGGTAGGTTACTCGTTGTTTCCCTCTGATCATCTGGTGTTCACTATATTCTATGGGTGTTAAATTTTCCTGACCTTCTATCCTCAGTATACATTCCAAAAATTTCAAATACCTCTTTCTGATTATTATGTATAATTTTTTTAAAGCATTTCACTCCAAGCAAGGCGGCAGTGCTTGTAGCACGCAAGGTGTTATAGAGAGAGGGCAGAGTAAAGAGGCGTGATAGAGGAAATGATGAAGAGAAAGCAGATGTCGATTGACAATGCATTTGAATATTTGCTGATTATAGCTATCAGGGAAGCAAGTAAGAGGAAGGGAGTTCCACAGACGGGAAGTGCGAGACATAAATCTATTGGAGTAGATGAGACGGCTACATTTAACCGTTTCGACAGTGAAAGGGGTGAGACTGAGATGCCAACCTAGTAGCACGTCTAAATTGTACTTTTCGCTTTAGTTTTCCTCAAAACTTCCTCGTTGTATACATTCTAAGTCTATGGTATTCAGGCAAATTTGGTAAATATTTATTTGCTTACCTGTGTATGTACGCTAGCGTGCATATACGATTTCTAATATCTAGGTATTTGATTTACTTACTTACTTACCTTCCTACCTACCTACCTATATATATATATATATATATATATATATATATATATAGTACAAGATGAAATTAACGGTCCCTAATTTAACGGACGACACCGGCAGAAATGTTAGTGTTCGGTTGAAACTGAAAACGCCCGCGCATAGCGTTACAAAGTCCAGTAGTTCCAGCATTGGCCGTTGTTGTTTACTGGCGCAATCAACAGACAGAGGCTGGTAGTTCCGGAAATAGACGCTGTTTTTTTTTATTTGAACGCTCGTCGTGTACACACGTGCGTCGACTCTCGAACATTTTTTTTACTGATTTTGATACAGTATACAGTATTGTTTTTTGTCAAGACCTTCATTATCGCATCCAATCGAAATGAGGTGAGAAAAGAAAACGCAATTACCTTAGTATAGGTGACAAAATGTATAACATCGAAAGTCCTCCAGTGTCTGCCTGTGTCGAGGTATCCCATTAATGGTACCAAATTGGAAATTATTAAGAAGTTGGAGCCGTGAAATGTCTAAAGGTAAGTTTAGGTAAACTTTAAAATTTTTCAAATTTTATTTAAAGGTAAATTTAAAACGTAACATACACAGCATCTATCTCTCTCTCTCTCTCTCTCTCTCTCTCTCTCTGCGCGCAATTTATTTTAAGTTACTATAGACTAACTTACAAATAAAAAAGCACATACATATATACTGTATTTACGTTTACAATAATTTTGTACTGTACTGGGCGTTTTAGAGCACGAAAAAAGTGCTTCCAATTAAAGGAAAAATTGCTTTAATCGACGACCCCCTACTATTCCGTTAAATTAAGGTTCCACTGTGTATGTATGTATGTATGTGCGGCTGAGTGGTTACAACGTTCAATTTCTGACCATGATATTCGGGTTCGAATCCCATCATGATCGATTACTGAGGAAGGAAACTTCCTGATGTTATCGGAATGGATCGACGTCGACCCCAGCGTGCGACGCCTTTGGAAAGTTCCTGAAAACCATAGCACATGAGTAAAATAGGGTTGCACGAAGTCACAAGTATTCGTAACCGAGGGTCTGAGTGTGCTGGCCTTGTTTCGATTGTTGATCTGCTAGATAACACGCTCTCTCCCAGAAAATGTAACTAAGGTCTTCTCAGCATATTTGCAGTATAAACCACAAGTCGGCTCTGTAGGTGTTGAACAAAACACAAATGTGCCTGAGCGAGCGTCTGCAATTAGTATAACTAATAGAGAGTTATTACTATTACATGTATGTATATATGTATATCAGAGAATGAAGCGTGCAAAATTCTTATAAAAACATTCCGGCTTCAAGTTTCACAGATTCACCCCCCCCGTCAGCGTCAGATAAATCATTTATTTGAAAATAAAATAAAAAAAATAAGTATTTTTGAAAACTTTTCTTTGTCTATTAACTATTAGTTATTAAGTAATTATTGATTTAATTATTTTTAATACTGGCACTTTGTTTACAAAATTCTGATCGCCTTTCAACACGTTAAATTCCAGTAATTTATGTGTCTTTATTTGCTTTTGTCTGATAACGATCCGTGTTTTTATATATATATATATATATATATATATATATATATATATATATAGATTGTTATACTGGAACACACCTATTCTATAGTTAATAGACTCTCCCACCTATAAAAAGTAGTAGTAGTAGTAGTAGCAGGCACTAAAGTCAGTAGCTCGAGTGAGTTGGTCAGTCAGTCGATCTCGGATACTAAGAGTATCAGCCACCACCACTAGATTTCTCTGCATCATTACCTATTATATCAAGTTCCTAACGTTTTGTACGTCGAACCTATTTTAGGACCGACTTAGTGAAATAGAAGCCTCCACCGTGAAACTACGCTACAATATATATATATATATATATATATATGTATATATATATATATACACACAACATACAGAAAGTATTTGTATATATATATATATATATATATACAACACAGATCGTTAGCACTATCGGTTGGGTTTCGATCCTGGCTTGAGGCATTCGGATGTCTAATCACACTGAGGAGCTGTGATACAGCGAAACAGTGCAGTCTGTGAATGACATATATGTGTGTCTGTGTGCTTGTTCAAACATTTTCAGCTGAAAATCGACACCATATAATATATATATATATATATATATATATATATATATATATATATATGTGTGTGTGTGTGTGTGTGTGTGCATAATATTTCTTCAGTCCGTGAATAGTCATGGTCCACCAGAGTTTCTTTTGCTGTTTTCGATAAGACTTACTCTTTCACAAGTCTTTCTTGTACTACTTCTTACATTGATTCTTTAAAAGTTGTCAACTAGATTACAGATACCACCCCCTTGTTTCTTTTGCTTTCGATCTGTACCAAATTGCCAAAATTCTTAGGGGCAGTAAACTTGGGTGTGTGGTTGTTGTAATCGATAACGGCTCGGAATTCGTAATGGAAGAAACAAAATACAATTCGTAATATTCACTTACGTCCAAATACTATACGAACCCGCTTGTTATCCCACATCTACGGATTAATTAGTAAGAATTGCATCAGTAAATCATTATTACCTCCCCAATTTTTTTTAATAAAAAACCCCCCCCAAAAAAAATCTGTTTTTAGATATCCTGCAAAATGTTGATAAATCTTAAAAAACCCAAATCGAATTATGAATAAAATTTCTGTAACTAATGACTTCCTTCCTTATTAAGTGGGTCCCAAAATTCCAGCTGACTCTTTCTGGTTTTTAGTAACAGATTCCTTGTAGTTTATATTCTTAAAACGCCCCCGTTTCTCGTATATTTTTTCTCAATTGAATTCTCAATATTCATCAGGGAAATCCCAATTCGGTTACTTCAAGTGTTTTCTTAGTGAAAGGTAGCGCCATCTTGGTCTCAAAATGCAGGAGAATCGAAACCCGACCAATATTTCTTGTGCCTCTCCTATAATTGGGATATAATCAGCTCAAGAAGTTGCTTTTTCCAATTAATGTTGTCAAAATTCGTCAATAAATTTAATATCTGTCTAGCGAAAACATTTTCCCTTAATTTATACAAATTAAATCTAAATAATTAAAACTATTCTGGACTTTTTAATTTCAGACGACAAATTAATTATCGTTGTAATGAATGAAATTTTCAATTTTCCTACTCGTTCACACGTCACTGTAAGAGTGTGGTGGAAATAAAACGAAAAAAAATGGTTGAATTTAATCTCATGATGGTTGTTGATATTTTAGAAATATTTACACAACATTAGATTGATTGATGGATTCGTTTTTTTACGTATTATTAGCCTTTGGCAGATTATTTAAAGCCAGAAAAATGTAGATTGTAAGGATTGTTGAGATAATGTTTTATTGATAGAAGTGTTACTAATTAACTCTCAGTGAACGAGACAACGCTGGAATTCGGCAGCCATCTAGGCGACGAAGCAGGCCTTTTCGGGATAGCACTGCTTTCCCCTGCAGCCTGGGAAAAGGACTAGAAAAAGGGATTTAAAATTGCCTGAATCATCATGTCCTGGCCAATTTGCCGCAGCTGGCACGAGTGCCATACCAGCGGTAAGAACTTAAAGAAATCAAAACCAACTACGGTTACAGCAGTCACCTTTGTTGCGTGGAATGTGCGCACCTTTTTGGACCGTGCGGGGCTGGACATCCTGAGAGACTGACTGCCCTCATTGCCAACGAACTAGCTCGATACAAAGTGCAGATCTCCGACCTCCGCGAGACCCGTTTAGAAGAAAAAGGACACCTGACAGAGCAGTCTGCCGGCTACCCATTCTTTTGGACTGGACGTGGACACAACGAGCGACACCAGACAGGAGTTGGCTTTGCCTGGTCACTATACTGGCAGCTAGTTCAAAGAGGATACACGCTCGCCTGATTAGCGTTCGTCCCTCGCTCCCCAGGAAGACGTTCGCCACACTGATCAGAACGTACGCCCCGACCATGACTAACCTTGACGAGGTGAAATACAGATTTTACGAGGATCTGAAGGACACCATCTTGGCCGTGCCCAGGACAGACAAGCTTATCATTATCGGTTATTTAACGCCCGTATGGACAGAGATATTATGTTGTGGGAGGGAGAGATGGGAAAACACGGCGTGGGCAAGTGTGAGAGCAACGGTTTTCTTCTGCTGGAGTCCTGCACTGCTCATGGTCTTCTCATCACCAACAGTCTTCCGTCTGCCCAAACGCAACAAGACACAGGCATCTACTTGACTACGTCATCATTAGGCAAAGGGGTTCCTGTACCTGTAACGGCATTCACTCGGGGTGGGTTGAGCCGGCTCCAATATTGGAGTTTCATGGGAATTTGGAATTCCCAAGCGGTCCCCAAAGCCGCATGTATAGGCTTCAGATCAGTTCCCAGGAAACCGACAGCCCGACAACAGCACATGAGATTTGATTATAGTGGTGAAGGCTTCGTGCAGGACCATCCACACTTTTTGAAGGGCCGATTACAGAGACCTGGTGCACTACGTGCCACAAGGTCCTTAAACAACCCTCCGCAGGTTTTGAATTCAGAGTTTTCCTTCTTCTAGACAAGTTGCCATCCAAGGCTATAGAACCCAGTCTGCCCTGCTATTTACCCATAGCTGGAGGGAGAAGAAGAGGATTCACACCTTTCACAAGGGTGTTAGCACGTAAATGAATGTAATGGATTCGACTGGAATTCGAACTCTGCTCTCCGATTTCTCAATCCAAGCCGGTATCCATTACTCCACCGTGCCTCCAAGGCAAAGGGATTGGCGGGATATAAGGGTCACGAGGACCATGTAGGGTGCGGAATGCTAGACGGCCCACAGTCTGCTGGTCTCCAAGATGAACCTCCGTATCACATCACCAAGGAGGCGACAAGACAAAAGAGTGCCCAAGCAAGTGAACATCTCAAAGCTAAAGTATGACCTGGTTAAAGAAAAACTAGTAGAGGAGTTAGACAACAGGCTACCACCACCCAAAACAGACCCGCAAGTTGATGTGGAAGCGGAGTCTGTTCGTTTCCTCATGCTGTCTACATGAGACCCATCACCCAACTCCACATCCAAGAAGGAAGTCTTTAGTCCAGCCGGGAGAGTTTTTCGGTCTGAACTACACTACATGCAAGATGAATGGCTTAGTGAGCAAGCCGACGCCATTCAGGCCTACACAGAGAGGAAGAACATGAGGAACTTCTACAGCATTCTCAAGGCCGTCTACGGTCCCACTTCATTTGGTTCATCGTCGCTCCTCAGATGGGAACAAATTGATCTCGGACAAGGAGAAATACTTAAGCCCCGTGAAAAACACTTCAGCAATGTACTGAATCGATCTTCAACCATCAATGAAGAAGCCATTGCAAGACTACTACAAGTGAGTCGACAACACAATAGCAGATCCATTAACTAGAGAGGAAGATACCAAAGCCGTGAAGCGGCAAGACACCTGGTGTCGACTCCATCCCAGCTGGGGGTCTATGCTTCTGGTGGTTCAAAACTGAACTAAAGCCTCACAGGCCTGTTCAGCTCCATGTGAACTCATGAAAAGCTTTCTGAGAGCCAATGTAGATTCCGCGCGGGGACATGATTTTCGTAGCTCGGCAACTGCAAGAGAAGTGTCGAGAGCGGAACGTCGGAATATACACCACCTTCGTGGACCTAAGGCATTTGGCAATGTCTGTTGTGGTGGACTGTGGAGGACAATGGCGAAGTTTGGATGCCCCGCCAAGGTCATTGCGATGGTCCAACAATTCCATGACGGCATGAATGTGCGTGTGCGGGATGAAGGCGAGTACTCCGAGCCGTTCCCCGTCACCAACGGAGTAAAGCAGGGATGTATGCTGGCCCCCACTCTGTTCAGCATGGTATTTTCCGCCATGCTGATGGACGCCTTCTGGGATGGAGACATTGGTGTAGGTCTTCGCAATCGTGCCGACGGTAAACCCTTCAACCTCTCGGAGATTGCAGGTAAAAGAGAAACCTGCATAAAGATACGGCCCATGACTTCCTATTCGCAGACGACTCCGTACTCAATGCCAGTACCTAGTTTGACATGCAGAGCAGCGTGGACCTATTCTCCGAAGCCTGCAAAGATTTCGGCTTCACAATTTTTACTAAGAAGACCGAAGTCCTGTACCAACCGGCACCTGCGGCACCCTACACTAAACCCCCACATTACCGTCAATGTCCAGAGTCTATAAGTTGCAGACAAGGTCATCTGACCTGGTAGCACTCTGTCACACTCCGTCAAAATCGATAAGGAAGTGGCTTACAGAATCATCAGAGACAGGCCTTCGGCAGACTGAAGGATAAAGTCTAAAAGGGACGAGGACTGAGCCTTAATACTAAGCTCAAAGTGTACGGAGCAGTAGTCCTACCATGCCTGCTCTATGCGTGCGAGACAGTCTAAAGACGGCATGCTAAACAGCTCGATGTTTTCCATATTAAATGCCGCAGGATCCTGCTCCGTGCAAAGTGACAGGACAGAGTCCCAGGCACTGAAGTGCCTTAGCGTGCTGGGATGGAGATCATCCGTGCCATCCTACTGCGCTATCAGCTCCGGTGGGCTGGCCACGCCCGACGCATGGATGACTGTCGCCTCCCAAAGAGATTGCTCTATGGCTAGCTATTCATAGGCAAGCGCTCACTCGGCAGGCTAAAGAAACGTTACAGAATCACTCCGAAGGAAACTCTCAAGCATTGTGGCATTCCCCATTCCACCAGAGAAGAGTCTGCTGACGACCGTGCCATCTGGTGCTTCCTTGTAAATTTCGGAGTGCCTGATTTTGAAGAGAAAAGAACAAAGATGCCAGAAAAGATCGAGAGGAATTCGCTTCCAGCCTGGTTCAGCAACCAGCATCCCATGTCACAACCGCAACAGACTTTTCAGGGCGAAGATAGTTCTCATTAGTCATCTCTACCCCCATCTCTACCCCCCACCCAAAGTCAAGGTCATCTTCGCATGTGGAAAACGAATACTTTATATATGAAATTCATTTTGTCCTGTATGACATTACTCTCTATATATAAAGTTGTAGCCTATGTTTTTCTGATTGTTTGTTATCGAAATCCTAGGGTTTTGGAGATAGACCCATATATATTCTGAAACTACATTACCCAGGGTACTAGGATAACTATATTTCATTTTGGTCAAAGGGTGTACAGAAGGGTGGGCTTGGGTGAAAACCCCCCCCACTGAAAATTTTCCCTTTGATTTAAATTAAATTTAAATTTGAACAAGGGAATGACTACTATTCAAAATACAGGAGGAAGCCAGAAGATGTAGGTCACAACGGCAACATCAAAATTAAACTATATGGATGTCAAGATGAGCAAGAAATCACCAGCAGGCAATGTCTTACAATGCATATTTGTTGCGACATTTCAACTGTCATATCAATGTTTAAATCTTTTCATCAATTCATTCAATCAAGTATTGCATCAAATACATATCAAAGGGGTCAGATCAAGCTGTTTTTGCACCCCACTAAAAATCTTTTCCTTTTGATTTAAATTAAGTTTAAATTTGAACAAAGGAATGGCTCCTATCCAAGGTATAGAAGGAGAAAACCAGAAGATGGAGGTCATATCGGCAAGATCATTGAGTAATATTGAAATGCATCATTTTTCGTGACAACTTATAACAATAATTTAAAATTAATCCTTATTATTTTTACAAAAAAATGTGTGACACGCCACAAGGCGCAGGTAATTCGGCTAGTAACCTAATAAGAGTTGATAGGTCGTTAAATTAACCTCCCTAAAAATACAAAACGAAAGAAATACAGGGTGTTTCAAAAATTTGATATCCTTTGAGATGTAAATATCACAGAAAGTACATGATTAAGGCAAATGAAATTAAAAAGTATTAATGTTGAAGATCATAAGATTTATTCTTCCAAATCTGAATGAGAAATTCAAAAGTATGTGAATTATGTGAACGATTTCACAAATGTTCAATATGCGAACCGCCTGAGACACGGCATTTTTATACCTGGAAAGAAAAAGATTAAAGATTAAAGAACATAAAAATTTACAAATAAGAAAAACACAAAAACATAAAGACATAAAAACATAAAACAAACATTAAACATAAAGATGCTATTAAAATTTGAAGTCATTTGAAGGAGATCTAACAAAGTTTTAGATTGCGAAATGATATCAAATTTTTTGAAACACCCTGTATTATATAGATGCCGTATTTACTCGAGTATAGTCCGAGTGGTTATTGACTTTTTTCTTACACAGAAACTAGGAGGTCACATTATACATAAGTAATTTTTTAGAAGAAATTAAAAATCATGAATTTTTCATGACTAGTTGCATTATACACATGCGATTTTTTTTTCTGGAGGGGTTAAAATTCATGTAAAAATTCAGGGGCGCACTATACATGAAACCGTACTATACACGAATACAGTATACGGGGAGATTAGGTCTAATATATTATATGCTATGTCATCGTGGCATTAGGTTCTCTTTCTCTGGGGTGTCATTTTAAGCATGGACCATTGAAAGCCACTTGCATTTTTTTTGTGTTTTAATATTATATACAGGGTTATTCAAAAAGACAAGCAGATTTTTCCAAAATTGAATAGAAACAAATGTTAAGAGATAAAAATACATTCAACACATGACTAGATAGGAAAAGGTTCAACGTTTATTATTTTAATTTTATTTTTCGCAAATTGGGGTTCATAAAACGACATTTCTTGTGTGGCCACTTTTAAGGATTGACAAGAATTATAACAATTTAAATTGATTAAAATATCTGAAAAAAAAAAACCAGTAAAAAGAAGCATTTGAACAAAATTAAAAAAAATATTCATTTATTTTAATAACTTCGAACCTTTTCCTCTCTCGTATTGTGTTGAATGTGATTATGTTTCTTAGTATTTGTTTTTATTAAATTTTCTAAATCTTTATCTTTCTTTTTGAATAAGCTTGTATATGCTCTGGTAGGGGGACATTATTGAGCAATATCTTTTCTGTTTGCATTATAAGCTCCTTTTGCAGAGGGGTCATTATTCTTCTGACATTTTGCATTTTTTTCTGATGTATGTATTCTGGTATTTTTGTAGTGTTGGGGCGGGAAGCCGAGGCGGGAAGCCGAGGCGGGAATAAAAAGTTCAGGTGTCTGAACGCGTAAAGCCGAACGCAGATGCATGCATAAAACGGAGGAAACTGACAAACTTACTTACACCAGAAGAAAATATATATATATATATATATATATATATATAT